AGAGAAAAAGAGGAAGACCCCCAGTGAGATACATGGACATAAGTGGCAGCATCAATGGGCTCAACTGTAGAAACAACTGTGAGGTTGGCCCAGGACTGGGCAGTGTTTCATTCTGCTGTTTATAGGGTCACTAGGGGTCAGTGCTGAGTCGATGGCACATAACAACAACAACAACAATCTTGTTGATTTGTAGCTTCATACCATTATGGTAATAGAAGATGCTTTGGAGGATTTCAATGTTTTCCAATTGTTGGGACTTGTTTTGTGTCCTAGCATAATCTCTTATGATCCCTGTGTTCTGGAGAATGTGTATTGTTCTGATGTTGAGTGTTCTATATATGTCTGCTGGACCCATGTTTATGGCTTTATTCAAGTTCTCTATGTCCTTGGTGGTCCTTTTAATGTTCTGTTTATAAATGAAAGTGATGAGTTGAAGTCTCCTACTATTACTATGGAGTTGACGATTTCTCTTTCCATATTAGTCAGTATTTTATATATTTTTGCGCATTGTTTAGTTTCATATTTATAATTGTCTTCTTGCTGAACTGACTCTTCACTATTATGAAATGTCCTTCCTTTTCTCTTGTAATGGATTTTGATTTAAAGACTACTTTAAATATGGCATCAGTACACCAAACCTGTTCCTTTTTGTTTATTAGTTGCATGGAATATTTTTCTAGATCTTTTCATTGTCCATCTGTTTCTGTCTTCATGTTTAAAGTGTTTCTTGTACACAGCAAAAGGATAGGTGTTTTTAAAAATCCATTCTGCTATTGAAAATAAAGTGTGTTATCTCAAACTGGTTTTCTGTTTGGCATTTTTTAATTTTGAAATCTTTGTTTTTTCATTCTGATTTTTCTGTTTATGTTTTTACTTGAGTGCTTTCTTGTGATAAGTCTTTTGTTATCATCCTTCTTGCCTTCTTGGTAATTTCTTAGTGGCTACCACTAAGTTGCTATGTTACACAACTTACAACACTGAATGTACGAACAACAGTTAGCATACTGCCTGAACAGAATAAATCTATTCCTGATATGCTCCTCCCTTCTCCTATCAGTAGATGTGTCTCCACTAATATAAAAATGCAATCTATATTCAATGCATTTTTACTTTGTACTTATTTCTTAATGCTCTTCCCTTCCCATTTGGAGTACTCCATTGAGTAAACTGGGCAGTGAATAAGGAAGATTGTAGAAGAATTGATGCCTTTGAGCTGTGGTGTTGGAGGAGAATACTGAAAGTGCCATGGACTGCCAAAAGAACCAATAGATCTGTTTTGGAAGAAGTGCAACCAGAGTGCTCCTTGGA